CCACATTTGCTTATGCACCCATTTGTCTTCAGTGATCCGTTCGACACCCCGTGATCACACAGGTTGATATGTTGTTCCATGTGGGCGCATCTGAGGTCTTAAAGGCTTGCAGGTAAACAAGCAACCATCTAACTGAGAAGCAACAAAGTCCACATGGAAGAAGCACAGTAGCCTGTGTGATCACGAGGTGTCAATGAGATAAGGTAACAGGCATCAAAGAACTAAAAAATCATATCATTGTAAATGAGGGGGAGTGCAGAGTGGAGACCCAAAGTCCATCTGTAGGCAACTAGGCACCCCCTAACAGAAGGGTCACAAGGAGGAGACCAGTCCGGGTAAAGTACAGCACCGACGAAACAAACAACTTTTCTCTAGTTCTTTAATGCTTCCTGCCCCCCACTACCATGACCCCAATTCTACCTTACAAATACAGCTAGACCAGAGGATGTACACTGGTTTAAATAAGAGCTGGAAACACAGAGAATCCAGGACAGATAACCCCCTCAGGACCAATAATAAGAGTAGCAATAAAAGGAGGGCAAGGGTGAGAAGGGGGGAGAACGGTGGAGCCGATCACAATGATCTATATATAACACCCTCCCTGGGGGAAGGACAACAGAAAAGTGGGTGAAGGGAGACATTGGGCAGTGCAAGACATGAAAAATAATAATAATTAATAAATTATCAAGGGTTTGTGATGGAGGGAGGGGAAAAAATGAGGAGCTGATACCAAGGGCTCAAGTAGAAAGAAAATGTTTTGAAAATGATGATGACAACAAATGTGCGAATGTGCTTGACACAATGGATGCATGTATGGATTGTGATATGAGTTCTACAAGCCCCCAATGAAATGATAAAAAAAATGCTGTCAGGATTGTAAGCTTGTGCACTATTATGGAAAACAGTTGTATGAGCCCCTAATAAAATGTTAAAAAAAAAAAAAGGAAAACAGTATGGTACTTCCTTAAACAAAGATAAATACAAATACTTTATGATCCTGCAATCTCTCTACTTCGTATATACCCTAAAGCAGTGGTTCTCAACCTTCCTAATGCTGTGACCCTTTCATACAGTTCCTCATGTTGTGGTGACCCCCAACCATAAAATTATTTTAGTTGCTACTTCATAACTGTAATTTTCCTACTGTTATGAAGCATCATATAAATAGCTGATATGCAGGATGTATTTTCATTGTTACAAATTGAGCATCATTAAAGCATAGTGATTAATCACAAAAAATATGTAATTATATATTGTGAAGTATTTATTTCTAATGACAAATCAATGAAATGTTGTCTTGAAGCAGGGTGTAGCATAGGTAACAGTCTTCACCCCAGGTACTCGTATGTGGGCGTATCTGCATTTGGGCGGACCGGCCTGGAGACAGGTAGAGGAGTGGTGTCTTGGTTCCTAAGACCATCGGAAATGGGTGCTTTCCAATGGTCTTAAGCGACCTCTGTGTAAGGGTTGTTCTACCCCCAAAGGGGTCATGACCCACAGGTTGAAAACTGCTGCCCTAAAGAAATCAAGAACAAAACCACAAACAGACATATGCACACCTGTGTTTACTTCAGCAATTTCCATAAATAGCCAAAAGTTGGAACCAAAAAAAACCCCTCAACTATAGAAGAATAGATAAACTCTGTTACATTCATACAATGAAATATTATGTATCCTTTAAAAACAAGTCTGTCAAACACCTTAAGATATGGACAAAATTAGAGAACACCATGCTTGGCAAAGTTAATCTCATAAGATAAATATTTTATGACACTGTTATTATAAAGGAAAAGAAAAGTGGTTTTCACACCAAAAGGTAGGACTTCAAAGACCACCACAAGGCCAGGGATAGAGGAGGAGAAGGGGATGGGAGAGGGAGAGAAGAGAAAAAAAGGAACTATGTATATGGGAGTTTAGTGTGATATCGTTGGGGTGTGCCACTACATAGAATGTTTAACAATTTTTAAAAATGAAGTTAATTTCTTTTGTTGAAGAGCGAGAAAAGGGTCGCCGCCTTAACAACGCTCTAGAGTCTCCCCATCAGCCGGCACGTTGCGCTGCGTGGCGATAGGAGGAAAGTGAAACACAACAGACTTGATTCTTTCGTGACAAGTTCATTTCAAATAATAAACAAACACATAAACAAAAGGGCATCCTTATTGTTAAAAATATGAAATCAAGCCCATATTTCCCAAGAGACACTAAAGAGAGCTTGGCAAAGCTCAAGTGGCCTTAAAAGAGAAGGCAGGATTCCTGCAGGCAAGCTTGGTCTGTGGGAAGGCAGGAAGATTCTGAATGACCCAGGGTCTGATGCAGGCAGCTTAGGGTCATTTACCCGCTCATTGCAGCGAGCCGCTCTGCAAGGGAATACAGCCAACCTCTTAAAACCTACTGAAAGCGTACAGCAAAGAGGAACATGCGGGGCATTAAGCTGTCACCTACCGAACACATTTTGAGATGTCCAGATTTGCCAGAAAGGGAGGGGTAACACTGAAGACAGCCACAGACCTCTATGCCTTCTATGTGCTCAGCCTCAGTAAACCCTTCCTCGCAGGGGAACCTGCAGAAACCCCCCTTCTCCGGTAGCCCAGAGGAAAGGCCACATAGTTAAAATCCAGCCAATGAATTTCAAGAGCCTACTTGCTTAGAATCTCTTCAATGCCTGGCTGGTGGGCCACCACTCCGGCCATTTTGTCAGGGCTGAAATTCACTAGCATTTCCTGCCACCTTCCCACCCACATTGGAATCCCTTGTACTCCCCCTGAACCAGCTGACCCATTTATCTTGGTTTCCAGTCATCTGCCCTCTGTCCAGAGCTCTGAATTCATTTAGATAATTGCTTAATTATAAGCTGTCGTCACCTGAGTTTCCATCTTGCAACAAAAATGCTTCATTGAACACTTGCAATGCCTCAGACTTCAGATATATCCAGAAACAAAACACCGATCCTTACCCTCATGGAGCTTCCATTCCAGTGACATGTTGGCCAAGTTCCGCATGCTCACAGAGCACGGATTACCATAGCTCTCTGCCTCCTGCTCCTCTGCTTCTGCTATGCCTTCTGATCACCCACTCAGTGTCTTTGGCACCTCACAACTCTATGAAGCTCACTCAAATATTCTCTCAAGTCATTGACTCCTCCTTCATTTCATATTTTCACCTTTTCGGGCCTCTTTGGGCTTGGAATCTCACCCTGGTATCCCTTCCCTCTGACTCATTTCCATGCTGCCACCTTAGTGGTCTTTCTAAAACCTGATCTCAGTGTACCCCTCCTCCACTGTGCCCAGCTCAGAAGATTCTAGGTCCTCTGCGATTTGATCCCTCCACTAACATCATGCCTATCCCTAGCTTCCACGGCACTTCATGCTACAATTACATCCCACTGAGCCCGCATTCATTCACTGCCATGTTCTTGGGCTCCAACATGTCTATCCTCCTGCTCATGTCTCACTCACCTCTCTGACCAGACTTAATAACTCACTGAAGTCAAGGATCATGTGATCTACCTTGGTCTACTTCAGGCATCTCCGGCACTAGGTCTGACAGGTAGGAGGTGTCCAAATTAATAGCCGCTCATGGGAAATGTGCTTCCATTCAAAATAAAGGCCTTTTGCTCCCCGGTGAGGGTCTGTAATTCTGAAGAAACAATTCTTCCCTTTCTAGGGTCAGGAGGCATTAGATTAAGAAAAGGTATCACTCACTTCACTTCTGGAGGCGACAGCCCGGTGCAGTGGGGTCAGCCACATGTTGTCCTTGGCATTGACACGGGCCCCTGGAACCGAACAGCACAGGTTAGAGGCACGTTGCAGTCAAGGAACGCTCTGCTGAGGTTAAATCACATGCTATCTGCTGCTGTCGTTTTCCCTGCACGCCACTACCTTTTCATTTTCCGTGAATCACCCACGTGCTCTGTGCCCACTGGACAGGGTGAGACAACCAGCACAATGCAGCGGCCAGGCCAAGACCAAGAACGTCACCGATTTGGGTAACGGCCATCTCTCTCTGCATGGCAGTCCCTCATTTGGGTAAGAGACTGAGGTCAGTTAAAGAAGTCAGAGGTACTCCAAGCCAAAAACCCAACCCACTGCCATCAAGCCAATTCTGACTTAGAAGGACCCTCCGTATGGTTTCTGACAGACAGCGTCATCGTTCTCCCAGGGCAAGTGGCTGGTGGGTTTGAACTAGAGTTTGAAGTTAGCAGCCCAGTAGCTGACCCAAAGTGCCCCCAGAGTACTTTAGAGGTACTCCTGAACTATAGAAATGTAGGTCCTGAGAATGGAGGATTGTTCTGGAACATATATGTGTGTGTGGTGGTATAGTGGTTACACGCTGGGCTGTGATCCCCAGGGTTGGCAGGTGGAAACCACCAGCTGCTCTGTGGGGGAAAGACGGGGCTTTCAACTCCCATAAATGGTTACAGTCTCGGAGCTTTCTACTCCCATAAATGGTTACCATCTCGGAGCTTTCTACTCCCATAAATGGTTACCGTCTTGGGACGGTTCTACCGCGTCCTGGGGGATCTGCGGGAGAAAGACGGGGCTATCTACTCCCATAAATGGTTACCGTCTCGGGAACTCGCAGGGACGGTTCTACCCCATCCTGGAGGGTCCCCATGAGTCGGCATTGATGCGATGGCAGTGGGTTTGGGTTTTATTTATGTATTACATAAAACCATATATGTGTGTGTAAATGTGTACACACGTAAATATATATATTTACATACATGTACAAAGAGTAAAACTTCTGAAAGATGGAACCTGTTTAATGCGGAAGCCTGTCAGAGAATGCTTTCCATTAGTAAAGAGCCACACAAAGTTGTTTGACCAGGCCCTGCTTAAGGGAGAAAGTTTGTGAGGCTGGAAAAAAACAGGTCGTCCGTTAAGTTTCAACTCTCACAGCTTTTCACTATCACATACAGGGGGCTTCAAAAATTCATGGAAAATCCCAGTATCTTTTCATCCCGTTTCATTCCTTCTTTTCATGAACTTTTTGAAGGCCCCCTTATACATATACTCATATCTATATACACAAGTATATATATATATGACTTTAAATTTTTCTTTTTAATCAGTAAGTACACATATAAATATTCATGAAAAAGGAGTGACAAGAAATGGGCCTTGGCCATGCACCATTTGAAGCCCCCTCATGTATATACCACCACATCCTTCTTGGCAAACGATCAGGGTGAACCCCTTCCAGCGAATGCAGATTGGATAGCAGTTCGGTTTCAAACAAATCTTGTCAAGTTGAGTTCTGATGAGAACTGATATAGCCTCAAGGAATTGGCAGAAATCCACTTTCTCTAAGAATCCCATATATTTCTGTGGAACCAGCTGGATCTTTTGGTAGGAAGAAGCCAGCTTCCACGGAGCTTTTAGCCGGTGTGGGTTGTTGGCAGCTCCCTCACATTATAAGCGGGGCAGAGAGCCTCAAGCACATGTCCACACAGCTCACACTCAGAGGTGTGCCTTGTGCTCAACTCCCTGTGACCTGAGTCCCGTCATGGAGCAAAGGCAGTGTGGCCAAAGAGACTCATGGGAAAGCAAAGGAGGCTCTCCTTCGAGGACACCTCACAGTGCCCCACAATCGAAAGCTGGACACTCTCCTTCTGAGGCAACACACGTTTCCTTTTTGAGAGTTCAGCATGGCTCATTCTTCTGATCAGAGATGAAAAGTTTTATGAACGTGCTACCAAAGGTTGGGGGGCAGTTGTGATAAGCTTGCAGATGTAATAAACAGTCCTGTATCACCTGTCGGTTAGTTTGTCACACTGTGGTGGCTTGTGTGTTGCTGTGATGCTAGAAGCTCTTCAAAGACCAGTTGGTCATCCCCAATGGACAGGTTTCGTTGGTGTATCCAGACTAAGCCATTCTAGGAGGAAAGACCTAGCGCCCTACTTCCAAATGCCAATGAAAAGGACAACAGACTCTTGTCCAGTACAGGGCGGAAAGATGAATCCCCCGACCGAAGTCACTCAAAAACACAGCAGCCAGAACAACGGTCTCTGGCATCCCGCCGGCCGCGAACAGGACGCAGGACTGGGCAACATTCCGTTCTGCTGGACACACGTCGCCGTGAGTTGGAGTAGACGTGGCTGCAACTGACCAGAACAGCATCTCGGTCTGTGGACAATGAGCCACGACAGTGCTCACGAGGGAGGAGAGGAGGGAGGCATCCAAGGAGCTAGAAGGTAAGGCCTGCAGGCACGGGAAGCACAAAGGGAGCATCTGCAAGGCAGGGCTGAGAACGCGAGTCAAAGGGAAGCAGGAGCTGACTAATTGTGCAGCCAGGTCAGCTGAGCTCACAAACCAGCAGTCTGCCAAAGAGGCAGGAGGAGACTTTTCATGGGTCAAAGTGAGCTCGAAGTTTAATTTAAGACATTGGATAAAAGGAAATCACACATCACAGAACTTACACTGTTTTTTTTCTTTAACTGAAGAAAGACAAATAACATAGACAACATTCATTATAAAAAACAAAACATAACAGTTCTAAAAACGAAAAGGGAATGCCCATCCCCACGCTCGGCTCTGATTTTCATAGTTGTGAGATGGCACCAGGCATATATTTTTAAAGCCTTCCAGGCCCCCGGGTAACTGTAATTTGTTGTCACAGTGGAGACATTGGAAATTTGTTGCTTAGCTTATAAAACAGAAAATTATTCGAATCCTCCTTTCATTAATTCCAGGCAGACAGCTCACCAGAGAGAACTCAAGCCCCAATCCTCATTAAGAGACAAACCTCATGAAGGGCCAAACCAGAGTTTTGGAATGGGTTCATTCTAGGTAGACTGCTCACCCAAACTCCACCTCCCCCCACCAGATGAGAATTTACATTTCTACCCCAGATCAAACGGCTATCTTGCTCAGGGCTAACCAAAAGGTTTAAGATTTGAGTTCACCCCAAAACCAAAACAAAACTCACTGTCATTGAGTCAATGCTGATTCATGGTGACCCCCGGAGGGTTTCTGAGACTGTTCATGAGAGTGGAGAACCCAGTCTTTTTTCCCAGGAGCTGCTGGTGGTTTCAAACTGCCAACCATGCAGATCTTGGCCCAATGCACAACCACTGCACCTGAAAACAGGCCTGGTGTCCTACTTCCCAAAAAACAGTCACTGAAAACCCTTTAGAGCACAGTTCTCCTATACCACCTGTGGGATCTCCTTAAGCTAGAATCAACTCAATGCCAACTCCTTTTATTTCAAAGGTGCTTTCTGGGTGAAAGCCTGATCCACAATGACTATCTCAATTAAACTCTGGCTAAAGCCAAAGCTAAAAAGGTTTGCAATAAATTTCATTCTTTGAGCAAGTGAGTAATGCATAAACACCTTCCTTTTGAACCAGTAGCTCATTACAGATTTCGCTAATGTCCCTGTGATTATCGTACTAAACATGGACTCTCCCCATTTCCAAGACAACCACCACTCTGAGCCAGGTGAACCTTTCTCTTTGCTTCTATGTCTCAGTTGCAGAAATGTGTACTCAGAGAAAACCTAGTGAATCAAACTGGGTGGCAAGTACAAAAGCATTGATTGTATTATTCTTTCTGCATATTTAGTAGATTGCACAACAATGGCTTTTAAAAACGCATAGCATCGCTTTGTAACTATATTTTTCCATTATTGCATCATTGTGTCTTGACATTCCAAATGGGTATGTTTTACTCAATATCTTTTTCACATCTCTCCATGTTGATACTCACAGAACAAGTCTATTTCTTTTCAGGTATCCCACCATAGAAATGTACAGTATTTTCCAGATATGTCCTCTCCTGGGAGATAGTTACATTGTTTCTTGCTAGTAAACATATAACTGAATTCCTTGAGCTGATGCGTCAAGTTTTTACCTAGGCCGGATTTCTGGGTCATTGGGAATGTGTGCTTTGAGTTTCAATAAATGTTGCCAACCCTCCGTGCATGCTGACTTGCACACTTGCCAACGATGTATCAGATTGCTTAGTCTCCCACACCCCCACCAAGACTTGACATTATGAGTCATTTTCGCATGGCATCTGATTTTTGTATTTTCCTTTTTAATATGAGGGTGGGGATCTTGTAGTGTTAACTGACGTTTTGTAATTCATTTTCAGAGAATCGCTTGTTCAGTCTTTGCCCACTTCTCCCATTTTTCTTCTGTGGCTATTTCTATAATTATTGCTTGCAGATTCTAGGAATCTTTAGTTTTAGGATTAAGATTCTTGTAAGGAGAAACAGGGACCCACAGGCACTGAGGTTGCAAAGCATGCTGGGCCTCACAGAGCTGCACCAGCCAGCGTTCAGCACCCCCAGCATTGTCTGCTTCAGAATCACTTGAGAAATTCAAAGATCATGAGAAACCTAGGAAAAGGCTCCTTCCAGTCACCGGGTAAGCCCTCCATCCCCTACGCAACCCCCCTCGAAATGCCAGAGGAAAGCAGCCTCTTTCCCTGAAAACAAACCAAAAGACATTCTATCATTACAAAACCCAAGGCGATCTGGACAGAGATCCGGCAGCATCTCCTCGGTGTCATCTCGTGCTGCTGGCTTCCTCATCCTCTTCCTCAGGGCACATGTCAGCGTCTTGTTTACCTGCCTTGCTCGGAGATGCCGTCAGGCCCCTGGATTGAATATTTATAACTGATTTTTTTCTAAAGGAAGCTTCACGTTATTTACCTGCCTGTCGGGCTCCGCTGTGCACGAAGGACATGGTCTGCAGTCCAGTGATTTAAAGGCGCGTGCTTTGGTACCCTAGGACATCTGACGCCAGCTTACATAGAAAAACAAGGGGTGGCTTCTTCTGGGCTTTCAGAAACAAAGGCCCAACCAAAATTTAGCAAGCTGCAACTCTAATGGGAAATTAAGCATGTTCCTCACTGGATCCTTAGGACCTCTTCATTTTGTTTCCGTAAGAGTCTGAAGTAAAAGGAACCTGGAGCTTATGTTCCAGTGGGCGGGCGATACTTCCGTTCTCATGCAAGAAGTAGAAGGAAAGGAAGTGGTGTGAGAAAGCGAGTCAGGTAGCTGAAAATCTTACAGACTAGAGTGAAATTGATTTTTTTTTTAAGGTTGGCTTTATCCATATTTTTGCTGGTGGTGTAGCAGTTATGTGTCGGGCTGCTAGCTCCAAGGGTTAGCAGTTTGAACCCACCAGCCGCTCTTTGGGAGAAAAATGAGGCTATCTACTCCCATAAAGAGTTACAGCCTCTGAGACTCACGGGGAAGTTCTGCCCTATGAGCCAGCATGGACTGGATGGCAGTGAACTGGAGTTTTTGAGTTACCCAAATTTTAACTGTTCATGGCTGAAATAAATGCAAGAAAATGAAAGATCATATCAAATATGATGATAATATAATGAGATCAGCTAACTCTCTCTTTTCTTTTTAAACAAAGACACCAAATCTTATTACAGCACACAGAACACCCTCTTTAAAAGCAATTGCCTTGGAAAAGTGTCCGATCATTCCAAGTATGTGGTGATTGCTCAAGACACTTTCCAAACCGTCCTGGGAGTGGCCTTCTGAGCCAGTTTACAAACCCACAAGAACACGACTCATTCCGCTATGATCACACCGTGTTCGGGGCCTCCAGCCTGCATCACCTAGTTCCACCCGCCCTCACCCACCAGCTAGAAAAAGCAAACCCACCTTCAAAGGGTGGCTATTTGTCAGGCATGAGGGACTCCAAAGAACGGTTGCCCCTGGCTCTGGAGGCAATTTGTCTTGAGAAGAGGCATCCCGTTTTGCAAAAATCACCAGAAATCATTTTGCAGGCATACCACTTATTGGCAGCATAAATTCTAATAAACATATGTGCTGTACTCAGTCCAAACACCCCCATGCTCAAGGGAGGAGTTTTCTTCCATCGAGGCTCTCACACCCCACTGCCCAGAGGTTTTAAATTATTTTTCCCCAATGGGTACTGTCAGTAGGGCCATTTCTCTATGTGCTCTGCTTCCTAAAGCGGGACCCTAGTTTCTAAACTCTAAGTCACTGATTGGTTTACACTGATCTTACTCAGACATCTCCCAGAGACTGACTTAAGAAGCACTTGACCTTCTCTCTGCCTTAATCCTGACTCGGCCAGTTCCCAAACAGAAGCTAGAGACAGAGAGGGGCGGGGTGTGGTAAAATAGAGCCAGCATGTTAGAAGAAGGTGGAATTTGGAAGACCAGACTTCCTCCCCAAGACCCCTGTCCTCCCAGTCTGCTCAGAGGCACCTGGGTTCCGCTGGAGATGAAGCCGCCGGTACCTGGTGGCCTTGGGTGACACTGTGCTCTGTGACAGAACACCACGGTGAAGAACACAGCTGTGAGGGGCTGTCCTGGCAGGCCAGATTCTTTGTCAACATGGGAGTCATTAGCACCTCATCCATTATTAGACTGGAAAATAGTTTTGTTGGATTCCCTGAAGGGTCAGCCTCCAGATGCAAGCTAAGAGATGAAACCAGCATGTGCTTACAGAGACATATTTTTAGGAATATTATATACAAATTGGATAAAGGGCTTTGCAGAGACAAGGAAAGCCAGGCACATTGCAAGCGTTTGCCTACGTTTCCATCAAACCAGAGCCAGACTCGCTGCCATTGACTCGCTGCCCACACATGGCAACCATAGCGAATAGAGTGGCACCGGCCCTGGGGGTTTCCAAGCCTGTAACTCTTGATGGCAGTAGAAATCTTTGTCTTTGTCCCTAAGTTTTCATAGCTGAGTAAAACTTCTGAAGGGTTTTCTTCCCTTTCGCCTAAGGAGAAATTGCACAGCAACTGCAACCCAAAATTATACTCTGGAGATTAACAGCTGTGTCGTTCCAAGACGAAACAGGTGGACCGGTCAAGATAAATGAAACAGACGGTCCCCCTCAGCTCTGCAAAAGCAGCCAGAGTTAAAGATAGGCTGGTGGCCTCCACACCCACCAGAGAGTGATGTGGAACCATGCCCAAACCAAACAAAAGCAAACCGGTTGCCATCGAATCATTTCCGACTCATAGTGACCTCACAGGATGGAGCGGAACTGCCCCATAGAGTTTCCAAGACTGTGCATGTTTATGGAAACAGACTGCCACCCCTTTCTCCCGCAAAGCCGCTGAGTTTGCACTGAGTTTAAACGTTTGGTCAGGAGCCAACATTTGGGTGGTGGGTCCAGCTGGGGGGGACTGTGAGCAGTCATACCAGAGAATCTACATCCCCACTGACTCTGACTCTGCCCACAGTCTCCCAGGGGCCAAGCTCAACCGCTGAGGCCAGGAGCCAGGCATGCCCTGGCTCATGGCCCAAGTCTCTGCTGGCACCAAACAATACACATTTGTTTGGAACACAGCCCTGAAATCTCTTTAGCCTGCCGGAAGAAAGGCCTGTGCTCCAGAGCACAAGACAGCCACGCTGGGTCTGTGTGACTGTCGGGAGCACAGGGCACACAGGTTTGGGGACAAGGAGTGCTCGTGTTCCTGGGCAAAACCCCCCTTCAAAACATGAAAGCCCGAACGAGGGCACCGTGAATCTCCCCGTCGTATCAAGGCACGGTCCTTGTTTCTTCTGCACAGTGTTCTCCCCATGTCTGCTCGCATGCGTGCATCAGCTCCTACCTTTGCCTAACTTACTGCGGAATTCCACAGTCTCCCTTCGCGACTGCAGACACAGGCACAGTCTTCTTAGAGGTCTCTTGCATGGTCTGTGGGCAGCGGCATTTCCTCCAGACTTGAATCTCCCCAAACAAAAAGGAGGAGGGAGAAAGGCAGCCTTCCAGCATGCAACCCACGACTGACGCCCGCACGTGCTCACATGCACTCCAGGGAGGTGCCGAGCAGACGCTCCAGGGAGAACACGCAAAACAGCTTCAGGAGCCAGTTTGGTGAGGTGTACTGAAAGGGTCGGCGCTTTTTAAATAGAATCGTACCTTTAAAATATGATTTTTAAAAATAATATTTTTAAATAAATTAAGAGGGTACTATCACTAACACCAATGTACACACGAGCCAGATTTAACGTGGACGCTTAGTTGATTTCTAATTATTTTTCAGAAGCAGTAAAATATCTACAGAGACGTGTCGTGCTTTTCTATCCTCCCAGGTTGGCATCTCACTCACGCTGCCTCCTTCGAAGCGGCTACTATAGAGAAATTGACCTGTTCCTTTTCCAACCGGACGAAGTTCAGGTTTTTAAGACTTAGGGATGTATCCACGGACAAAATATCGTATTACAGAGCAGCATAACTGAGCAGACGTGTGTGTTCATGTAGACCTTAAGGAGCCAAGTTCCTCTTTTACAACTGAAAGTGATCAAAAGGTCTTGCATTTTTCTACGATGCCGGACTGACTCATCAGCCAGGAGTGAGGTGTTCACCGTAGAGGCCAAGTTTTCATGGTGACATCCCACTTCAATTAGCACGACTTCTTGCAATAGCTTTCACACGCCGAGAGGATCACTGATCACATAAACTCCGCGGGCACGACAAAGGCATTTTCTTTGGGTTCATTGTGGCAGTCAATCTAGTAAACAGGCTGTGTGAACAGTTATCTACAGTTGACTTTTGAGCAGTGCGGTTATTTACCAGACAGAATCAGGAGTTCAATGATCTCTGCGTCTCCCAGAAACGCCGCCACGTGAAGGGGTGTCCGCTTCTCAGAATCCTGGAACAAATATCAAAAGCATATGTCAGCATTGGCTGGAGATGCCCTGCTAACACATCATACCACGTGCTGCCCACTCCGAGGTAAATGCTTGTGGAAAAGTGGAAAAGGCCAAGCAGCTGGTCGGCTGAGCTCTGGTTATACATTTTCTCCTAACCTAGCCCACAGCCTGAGACAGAATGAGACATTGTGTTTTCTGTGTCCATACACAGTGGAGGAGCCCTGGTGGTGACCACCCCAAAGATCAAAGGTTCACAGTCGTCATCCACTTTTTCATAGAAAGGAATGACCGACGAGTTCAGTAAAGTTTACACACTTGGTAACATTACGGGACAGTCCCACTCTGTCCTGTGGGGTCTCTCTGAATCGGAATCAGCTTGACAGCCGTGGCTTTGGTGTTTTAGGGTTGATATGTGGTAGTGTCCTCCTTGCTGGTTCTACTAACACCCCATTGATGTGAAGTGTGGACCATCCCACACTGGAAGATGAACCTCTAACCTTCCACATGTGAAAAAGCAAAAATAAATAAAAATTAAGACCTAGGCAGAAAGGGGAACCGATTGCTATCATTGCCATACAACACGCCCCCTACCCGGCAACCCCACCCCCAACCGAACAATGGAAGCGTGGGTGAAGGGAGACAGCAGACGGTGCAAAATGTGAAAATAAAAATAATTTATAAATTATCAAGGGTTCACGAGGGCGGGAGGGTGGGGGAGGGAAGGGGGGAGGAAGAAGAGCTGATACCAAGGGTTCAAGTAGAAAGAAATGTTTTAGAAATGATGACAGCAACATATGTACACATGGGCTTGATATAATTGATGTATGGATTGTTATAAAAGCTGTAAAAGCCCCAATAAAATTATTTATTAAAAACAAACAACTTCCGACGTAACTATGCAATATAATTCAAAGCTTTTTAACCCTTTTGTATTTAAGAAAACACATTCAAAATTAGTCACAAGGATAGTAAGCACAAATACAAGCATTTTTCTCCTTTCTATTCCAATTACCTCTTGCTAAACTGCTCCCCAGGATGCCCCTGGGTGGTACAAAAAGTTAACCCTCTCAGTTGCTAACAGAGAGGCTGATGGTCCAAGTGCACTCCAAGACATCTCGGGAGAAAGGCCTATAAACTATTTCCCAAATGCTAACCATAGAAAACCCTATGGAGAACAGTTCTATTGACACACCCGGGGTAGCCAGGAGTCAGGCTCAATTTGAAGGCAACTGAAAATTGGTAGAAAACTCACCATTCACATCAGACTTGTGACACTACCTTACTCAAACACTACCGTGTGCCAGGATCAGATTCGGGGCAGAGCGTGGGAATTATGATAGGCCCTCAAAAAGCTTACATGTATGTGGGCAAGCCACCAGTATTCATGTAAACAAATCAACACATAAGATCATTTCAGATAGGGCTAAAATCTATGACCAAATTAAAATAGGCTGATGGACTCGAATGACTACTGAGATTCATTCAAGTGGTTGGTAAGGTCTTTCTGAGGATCTTGACATTTAAAGTGAAAGCTGCGGTAAACATTAGACCTCTGTTTCACAGATGAAGAAACAATAAACTAAGAAATTTCCTCAAGACCCCACGAAGCCAAGATTGGATACCCATGTCTGTTAGACTCAAGACCATCCTTGGTAAGTTTTTTTAATGTGCTGAGAAACAGTATGCTAGCATACAAGGGCAAAGATATTGTATCGTCATCTATATATTGGTGATAATCATATCTATCTTGTAGGATGGAAATCAGGATTCAAAATCATGTAAGTACAGTTGGAGGCACAGGGTTTGCCATATAGTCATTATTATCATCAGCACAGATAACTGTCATAAAACTCCTCTCCAAAACAGGATGCCTGAGGGCAGAGGGTGAGGCTTGCTCCTTTCCATCCCTGAACGAACAGCATCCTAAGTGCTCAGAATAAGATGCTAAATTAAGCTATTCTACATGAACTGTCTCTTCCACAACCTTCCATTCATTATTCCACAGCTATCATAACAAAATCCTTTATGGTGCATCATTTGGTTTCTACTGAAAGTAAGCTGCATTTTAATTTTGTGACATCATCCCTGATATCATATCACTTGATTATACAATTAACAGTGCTTGGCCAGCTCAAGGATATTATCCTGTTACTGACAGCTCAGGCCCTCTTCTCTTTCAAACTCTTGCTCTCGGGCATTGCGTGATTTCACTAACATCTACAGCAGATGGCAGGCAGGAGACATAACAAGAACCGATCCTTAATCTAGTCTATTTCGTTAGGCAGGCTGGTAAGTAGGTTTTATGAAGGGTGGGACTAACCCCCTTAGGAGGTGCTATTGAGGCAGTTCCAAGTCACAATGACAGCAGAATGGGCACTGCCCGGCTTATGCCATCATCACAAGGATGCCATGTTTGAGTTCATTGCTGCAGCCACTGTGTCAATCCACCGCATTGAGAGGCTTCCTCTTTTTGGCTCTCCACGTGACCAAGCATGGTGCCCTTTCTCTAGGGACTGGGTCCTTGTAATACCATTTCCACAACACTTGAGACAAAGTCTCACCATCTTGGTTTCCCAGAAACATTCTGGTTGTACTTCTTCAAAGACAGATTTGTCTGTTCTTCTGAAAGTCCAGGATATATTTAATATTCTTCACCCGTACCATAATCCAAAGGCATCCATTCTTTTTCCGAGTTCCTTATGGATTGTCCAGCTTTCGCATGCACATGAGGTGAGTGAAAGAACCATGGCTTAGGTCAAGCACACCTTAGCCATCACAGAGATGTCTTTGCTTTTGAACACTTTTAAAAAAATTTTAAAAATCATTTTATTTGGGGCTCATACATCTATTATCATAATCCATACATACAGCAATTGTGTAAAGCACATTTGTACATTCGTTGCCCTCATCATTCTCAAAACATTTGCTTTCCACTTGAACCCTTGGCATCAGCTCATTTTCCCCCTCCCTCCCCACTCCCCCTCCCTCACGAACCCTTGATAATTCATATATTATTATTTTGTCATATCTTACACTGTCCGACATCTCCCTTCACCCACTTTTCTGTTGTCCATCCCCGAGGGAGGAGGTCATATGTAGATCCCTGTAATCGGTTCTTCCCTTCCTACCCACTCTCCTTCTACCCTCCCGGTATCACCACTCACACCATTGGTCCTGAAGGGATCATCCGCCCTGGATTCCCTGTGTTTCCATTTCCTATCTGTGCCAGTATACATCCTCTGATCTAGCCAGATTTGTAAGGTTTTTGAACACTTTAAACAGGTCTTTGCACACCAACATCCGTGATCCAAGGATTATAAATTATATAATCCAAATATAAAGGAGAGATTAGTGTCAACATTTAAATTGTGAGAGATTCTGGTGTATAGAAGCTTATGGATGACAGTGGAAGCCCAAAATACATTTGCAGGATCTACACAAGGAATAAGCCTCCAGTGAGTTCTCTGATCACAATTGAAGAAAGGGGATAACCTGGTGATCAGACAGAGAGGACAGGAGAGATGACTGTAGTCGATTAAAATGATAATTTGGCTGTTCACGTGTTTCCGAATCCATTTGCGGGTCTCTCCCTGCAGCGGCGCAGCGTGAGAGGAGCACTTGCTGCGGCCACCCAAGTGTCATGGCAGGACAGGCATTTCGAAAGTTTCTTCCCCTCTTTGACCGAGTATTGGTGGAAAGGAGTGCCGCTGAAACTGTAACCAAAGGAGGTATTATGCTTCCAGAATAATCTCAAGGAAAAGTCCTGCAAGCCACAGTCGTAGCTGTTGGGTCCGGCTTGAAAGGAAAGGGTGGAGAGATTGAACCAGTGAGTGTGAAAGTTGGAGATAAAGTGCTTCTCCCTGAATATGGAGGCACCAAAGTAGTTCTAGATGATAAGGATTATTTCTTATTTTGAAATGGTGACATTCTTGGGAAGTATTTGGACTAGAGTAAACCACTGATGAAATGGCATCATGTGAAGCTGCCCATTCCACTGAAGTTCTGAAATCTGTCATCATGTAAATAATCTCCATGTCTCTCTTTTATAATAAACTCATGATATGCAGTGCCGTTAAAAATTTGTTTCTTTGTTTAAAAAATTTCCAAGTAAAAATATGCAAACCAAAAAACAAAAATAAAATAAAATGATAATTTGACTCGAACTGGTAAAAACCTTGCCACGTGATCTCCCTTCTGATACATTTCGTGCTTGTTCTACTGGTTAACATTTTCGGTGTGGTTTTTCATCCTGGGCCTGGTCTCTGTTGTATTCTGTCATTGTTTTCAGCCTTCTTCTCTGTTATGTGTTTTTCTATATTTTTCGGTTTAGGAAACCCAGGACAAAGATGATAACTAGCATAAAGGTTCCTGGGAGGTATGGCGGGGGCAGTGGGGGGTAAAGGGAAGCTGATATCAAGGACTATGTGACAATGTTTGATATGAAATGATAGGATGTCTGGGTTATCGCCTAATAAAATCATTTGTGGGGAGGAGAAGCACACTGTAAATTTAAAAATAAGTAGGTGGTTTGCAGCAGATTTGCCCAACATAAATACATTGTTTTGATTTCTGGACTGTTGCTTCTGTGGATATTGATTATGGATCCAAGTAAAATGAAATCCTTGACAATTTCAATATTTTCTCTTTTTATCAGGATGTTGCTTATTGGTCCAGTTGTGAGAATTTTTGTTTTCTTTATGTTGATCCATCTTATGTATAATCCATCTTAAATGTTGTAGTCTTCAATCTGTATCAATAAATGCTTCAAGCTGATGGTGCCCAGCTATCAAAAAGTATAGTGTCTGGGGTTTTAAAGGCTTGAAGGTAATCAAGCGGCCATCAAGCTCAGAAGCAACAAAGCCCACATGGAAGAAGCACACCAACCTATGCGATCACGAGGTGTC